AGCGGTTGGGAGAGTTTGGAGCCCGCAGCTCTGCTCTTTCAAGATAAAAGAGAGGAATTCCCCACCCATCAAAAGGTGGTGAAGGAACGGTAGGAAGCGCTTTGGAGCTTTGGATGAAAAGGGACGAGGAGGAACGAAACGCTGCCTTGCTTTGAAGATGCAAAGCTCTGTATAAATCCTAAGCAGTTTTATTGGTGGCTCAAATGCACTGCAGGCTTAAAAAAGGCAAAAGTATGTACCGTCTCGTGCTTTTTATTCTTGCTGATGTTCATGTTACATCAGTGCCCACAAGCTCTAGGTGCTTTTTCGACACGGGAGGTGCCACGGCCTGGCTGTGAAGGGGGTTGTGGGGATTTAGGGCTGGGGAAGGGGCTCTGGTGCCCCAGTTGGACTGGGGGGACAGCCCGTGCCACGCTGGCGGGATGGGAGAGAGGGAATTGCTGGGGCTGGCCCTGCAACGGGCACCTCTGTGAGATTGCTGGGGTGTCCCCATCCACCGGGACTGGAGGGAGTGGGGCGAGCCAGCCTGTGATGCACACTTAATATTTTTGATTCAAGCTTCCTTGCTCCGAGTCACGGCCAGCGCAAACACACAGAAGCAGAAAAACTCCACTTTTGTGACAAGCCAGCTTGAAAAAGTTGGGTGCAAAGGTGATGGTGGGGGACCCCGGGGAGGAGCATCCCTGCGGTGCAGCCCTGAGGAGGTGGGTGTGCAGGCTGGAGGAATTAAAGCTGTTGGACCTGAGGTTTGGGATAACCCCCCCATCCCGCTGCCACGGCTCCTGGGACGCCCCAGAAAGCTGGGGAGTGGGGAGGGCTCCGGAGCAGCCCCCCGCGGGGCTTTGCAGGGTGAGCGTGGCCTTTCTCGCAGCATTATTTGCAACACCCTCAGTGCAAAGCTGTCAGGGCAGGGAAGAAAAACCCCAAATCAATACGAAATGATGAGTTCAATTGGGCCCATTTTCAAAGCTGTCAGGAGCTGCGAGTGAAGTGCGGTAACCGGGATGGAAAAATGATTTTCATTCAGACTCCTTTTTGGAAAGCAGGACCCGGTAAGGGGCACCTCCTGGTGCTGTTTCCGAGCAGAACAGAGTTTTACCCCTGAGCAAGGGGCTGGCGGGGGGAAGTGTCTCCCTCCCTTCGCCCCCAGTTTGCTAAGCCACACAGTAGACTTTTTAAAATTACAGGGTAAGGACTAGTGACAACCACCTCTCGCTTTATTTTGGCATCGAGGGGCGGGCGGCAGCACCTTTCCCACCTTTCTTGTCCTTCTGAACCCCCGGCCAAGGCCGCCTTGGTTTCGGGGCGGCCTGGAGCTGGGGGAGAAGCTGGTTTTACCCGTTGAAGTGCACAGTCGAGTTGGTTTGTCACGACAGAACTTCGCCATCCCCCTCCCCGGGTGCCGCGGAGGCAGCGGATCCCAGAGCCCTCCCTTGGTCCTGACCCCCCCCCCCGGGGGGGGGGTTGTGGGGGGTCAGCTCCATCCCACGCGAGAGCTCTTCAGAGCTCTGTCACCGCTGGGCTTCAAATCTGTGGAAAATAAAAAAGACTGAGCGCTGACGGGAAGCAAAGCCCTGAGATAGCTGGGGGGGGGTGTCATCACCCCGAATCAGCCAGCGGTGCCCACACAGGCCCCTGGTTTGGGGGTGCGGGGGGGGGGGGGTGCGGGGCAGTGGTGAAACCCAGCTGAGCGATTAATACCGCGCCCTTGCCTGCTTGGAAAACCATCAAAGCGGAGGGTGTGATGGCCCAGGTTTAAAAGCAGCTGGATGGGCACGGCGTGGATGGGGGGGGAGAGCCGCGGCGCTGCCGACCCTCCCACCAGCACCATCAATCCTGGGGGCACTCGAGCCGCTGTCGGTGTCCGGAGACGCTGCGAGTGATGCTTTCGCGATCGCTGCCGTCTCCCCGCGGCCGGCTCGAGCCAGGGGTTAATGCACGTTTCAGTCTTCATTGCCTTTTTAACTAGTTTTTAATCAGTAATTATTAGCGAGCGGGAAGCGGTGGGGGGGGTGGGGGCTCCTCTCGCCCGCTCCCCAGGCGGGTGCCGCTCGATGTGTCCCGGCAATTAGCACCCGGTGTGGGCTGGACACTGTCACCGGGTCCTCGGCTGGTCCCCAGGCTCCTGCCAGCCCCGGCACGGTTTGGTCGGTCGTGTTGGTGAGCTCAGGCTGGCGCTGCGGGGTTTGGTGACCTGCCGGGATAAAGCGCCTTTATCCAGGATCGGGCTCTTCCCCTCACACGGAAAAGAAACTTTAATTTCCTTCGTTTGCCCCGCAGATAAGAAATTCCCAAGGAGTGGATGCGAGCGGCAGACGCCAGCCCGGCCCGTGGGAGCCTGCGCCGCCGCTAATTACAGCCGCTGCCATGGAGGTAAATAGCAGGGAAATCAGCCTTCGACTGATTCAGAAATGAAGTCAAGTCTCGGTGCCCTTTGCAAACTGCTAATGAATTACAAGTATCTCTAGACACAGGAGCTGCCATCACCTCGCGGCCAACTGAAAGCCGCAGCCAGGCGCCCTCGAAATGTGGAGCCTGCTGCCCTTGGGCGTGTGTTATGATATTTAAAATAATTGAAGGCACAATGGTATAAAGGTTTTTTTTTTGTTTGTTTTTTTTTTTGTTTTTTTTTTTTGAGGGGTGTGGGGGGTGAGAGTGTCATTATCATCAGGGTTTCTGCGCTCGGTGCTCTCGGGCCGCATGCTGGGCGCCATCCGGGCTTGCGCCCGCCACGGAGACCAGTACCCTGCGGAACAAAGGAGCTTTAAACCCCCTCTATTTTATTATTCTTTATTAATAATGAGGAGGCCGTTGTAACTAGCCGTGAAAAGAAGTGCTTAAGCTCATAATTAATAAATGCTGGCCTGGTTTCTGCTGCCGAGCCACAACCTGGAGGTGCCTGGGGGGGGGTGGGCGGCTCTGCCGAAACGGCGGAGGGTTCTTGGGGCTGCGCCGCCGGTTCGTAAAGCCGGGATGCAAAAGCCCAAAGAGCCCCGGCTGCCTCCTGAAACCCATCGTTACGGCTCGGTCATAAATGTTTATGACAGGAGGGAAAGGAAGTAAATCACATTTATAGCCCTTGTTTTCTTTATCAGGGCACTAATTTGACAGGGAAGGGAAATTTTTGCTTATTTTACAACTCTGATTTTGGCTGCAATTTGATTTCAGTAGCTGGGAGGCGAACACAAAATCTTATTTTTATTTCGGAGTCGGTATAAAAATTTACATTTTGACACAGACCCCCGCTAACGTTTTAGTGCGGATATAGCGGGCCTCCGGGCTTTTCACAAAACACATAACCCAACATATAATACACTCATAATTCACTAATGTTTGCTGAATGACAGGGTTAAGTGGCTGCTATTCCCGGCCTCCCACCACACTAATGTACTCCAGACCTGCGCTCCTTTTCTTCTGGATTGCAGTCAAATCGTTTCCTGCAGCCCTCGCAGTGGAAGCTCCTTCCACCCTGAATAAATACTACTTCCGAAATTATTTTCATTTGTTTTTCTAATCTAATTTTCCCCTCGGTGCTCCACTAATCATCAATCCCATTAAGGGCTTGATGTGTTGACTGCTTTCCAGCGAGGAGCTCGTCCTGCGTCCTGCCGCACGCTGACCTTCACCGGCAGCATCCCGGCCGAGCCCCTGCGCTGCCGTCCCCCCCCCGGGACCCCCCGGCGTGGGTGGGGGTGATGCCCGTGGTGGAGGGTGCCAGGGGTAGGGGGGAAGGTTTGTGGGTGCTGGTGGGGCTGGACCGTCCCCTCCATCCCAGCCCAAACCCGTACCCCGACAGCCCAGCCATGCCGCCTGCGGAAACTTGTGTCTTCCCGGGTGAAATAAAGTGAATATTTAAAGGGGTGGTGGTGGGGGGGAGTTGGCTCTGAGGAGCTCCCAGCCCGGCTCAGCTGCCTCTTGCCAGGGGGACCCGGGGCTCAGCCTGGGTCCAGCCTCCCCGGGTAGTAAAAGTTGCTCTGAAACCTTAAATCTAGGGAGGGAGGCAGTTTGGGAATCCCTCCTGCCCTTCGTCGCCGCACCTTGAAATCTGGCACAGCCTAACCCCACGTCTGTAGAGCATTTACAGACCGTCCTGACTCACCTTCCTCCTCCTCCTCCTCCTGCAGGGCCCCCCCCCCCCACCTCCCCCCCCCAAGGCTGCTCTGGAAGGCACAGGGATGGGTTTGCTGCTGTTTAGCGGAAATTTGATGTTTTTTTTTCCCCTTCTGAAGACACGCTGCTCCGTGTCCCCCTCCCAGCTGACACTCCCCTCCGAGGCACAATAAGCTGGTCCCCCAAAGGGAAGGCAAGGACAAAGCAGGTGATTTTTTTTTTCTTCCCCCTCCCCCCCCCCCCCCCCCCAGGCTGCTCTGGAAGGCACAGGGATGGGTTTGCTGCTGTTTAACAGAAATTTTATGGTTTTTTTCCCCTTCTGAAGACACGCTGCTCCGTGTCCCCCTCCCAGCTGACACTCCCCTCCGAGGCACAATAAGCTGCTCCCCCAAAGGGAAGGCAAGGACAAAGCAGGTGATTTTTTTTTTCTTCCCCCCCCCCCCCGAAGTCTCTGTGAGACACAGTGAGATTGATAAATAGCCACGCAGATAGATGCCTAGATAGAAATATTTCTAAGCCACAGAATAAAGCTCTTCCCCCTCCATCCGGGCTGGCAGACACGTGTCAGGAACGTGGGGTTGACGGAAAGCCATTAAAAATGGTGACACTTGTCACCGACGTCCTTTACCTGACGTTTCCAGGGCTGGGTTATTTTTACGACAGTTTGATGCGTCTGTGGCGGGGTCGGCAGCAGCGGTACAGCAGTGCTGCCGCGTCCCCCTCTCTCACGCCTTCTCCAGGGAAGGACCACGCGATGCCCAAAAGGTGCCGGGCGGTGCACGGCACGAGGGACGGGTCCCCGGGGACAGGGACGAGGTCAGGGAGGAGCTGGCTCCCTCCCCCAGGACTGAACGTTTCACCCCCCCCCTGAATGAAAGGGACTCCACGGATCTGTTCAAAACAGTTTATTGTATTTTTTCGTCAGACAAACACATTGATTTCTGGACCACAGTAGAGGATGGAAACCTTTCACAAACTTATTTATTTGAAAATACAAATATAAAATTATACTTTCCACATCTGTGATGTGAGAGACCCCCATCCACATAGTATTTTACAACAGGGCTTTAGAAAGCCATACACAGAGACCTGAAAGATGCTTGATATATATAGATACATATATATATGTATATATATAAAAAAAAAGTCACTACCAAAGTTCTCATCAGTTCATACTAAAGTATAAAAGGAAGGGCTAGGCCTGCCACTGTGCCATAGTTTATTTAGGTACATTTATGACCACCTGAAATGCTTAGACTTGCATCCTAGTACTGATGGGAGTTCAGACCTCGTACAACAGAGAATGACGGGGATTTGCTACCTACGACGGTCGACGCGACACACGAGCCCACGCGTGGTGTTACGGGTATGTACAGAACAGAGCGCCGAGTCCTGCCCCCCCGGCTGCCGGGGCCTCATCCTGCTCGGGCACGGAGCTCTCGAGACAACACAGTCGGACTGGCTGGGAACCGAGAACCGATCACGAGGATTTACTTTCTCAAACTACTTTTTTTTTTTTTTTTTTTCTTTTCTTTTTTTAAAACTTTTTTTTTTTTTGGTAATTTTTATTACAGTATTAAAGTATTGCTTAGCTTACAGAATCTCCTCACGTAGTGTTCGCACGCGGCAATGGGTTTGACTTGGATTCTGTACGTATGAAACTCTACAGTGTCTGTGCGCAGACCGGGATCTGCCGGTGTGTCTTCGATGCATCCTGTCTCTTCACTTTACACTAACTTTTCTGTTTGAACTATTTCGCTTAAAAAAACAAACCAAACCACTAAAAAAAATAATTCAGAAAATTCCACCCAAGAGACATTTCCATAGCATAAAAGACAGCTATGAGTTAGTGTTGGTTTTTTTTTTTTTTTTTTTTTTGTAAACAGTTTCATATGCAATATCATACATAACCATGGCTGGCCTTCGGTAAAAATGTAGTAAACTATATTGCTTTATTATTGATTATGTTGCATTGAGTGAATGGCAGAAACGAAACAGGAAGGTAACTGTGGCTGGAGTCGCTAGCCCTCATTCACACTACAGATGAAAACAGCATCCTAGGCTTCAGAGCAGGGAAGAAAAGAAATTCGAACACCTTTCAGGTCGTTATTACCAACAATTACCCAATGGTTTAACTAGCCTAGCAAGATGTGTAACATTCACCAGCGGTACGCTGCTGTACAATGGAAAAAAAAAATAAACTTACAGCAAAGAGAGCCATGCTACCTTAAAGTCCAAGCTACAAATTCAACTTAAAATGAACATTTATGAAGGAAAAAAGAAAAAAAAAAAATAAAATAAAAAAAGGACAGATCTGGCTTCATTTTAATCCAGCCAATCGCAAAGGGCTTTTTTTACTTTTGAAGGGGGGAGGGTGCCCGAGCTCTTGTGGCTTGCTAGAACTCTGCTCAAAATGAACCCGGAGCTTGGGACGCAGCCCGTCCCGCGGCACGGGGGCGATGCCCGGCGCTCCGGGCAGGGCACGAACCCGCCCGCCGCCCCTCTGGGGCCCGTTCACCCGCCGGGACGGAAACCTGGAAACCTCTCGCTTTTTGGTCACGGCGGGGGCAGCGGGTCCGCGTGAGCCGTTTGGAAAGGGAAGGGCAATATCCCTCAGAACGGTCCTTCACTCGCTGTGCTTGACTAAAACAAAGGTGGAGCTGAACCTTTGTGCTGAAAAATTTACCAAAAAAAAAAAAAAAAAACAACCACCCCCCAAACGAACGAACAAAGGAAAAAAAAAAAAAAAAAAAACCAAAAACCAAAAAACAACCCCTTCGAAATGGACTTCTAGATGAGTGGGGGACTAACGTGAACCTTAGTCTAGGTAGCCACATCAAAACATATCGGATTCCACGACATTTGTGCTATGGGCCACTGGGACTTCTCAAAAGGTATATAAACATCTAAAACATATTCACACAGATTAGCAATTTCTTCTGAGCATTCTTAAAAAAATATTTTTTTTTTCTCTTAGTAAAATCGTTTTAATATACCGTGCCTCCCTCTTTTAAAAAATAAATTAAAAAAATCCAGTTTTGCATATCTAGCATTAGCATTTAAGGTAGTATGGCACATCCCCTTTTCAAAGTCAAGGGTGGGGATCTACAAATGCCTTAGGAGTTTGCCAGCATTTTTAACATTGTGAGACCTTTGGTTAGTTGAAACCGCATCAGATCAGCAAAAGAAAAAAAAAATAAAAAATAACAAGAGAAAAAAAAAAACAAAGAAAAGAGGAAAAAAAAAAAAAAAGGAAAACCTTCCCAAAATTATTAGCATTTTATTCTTAAATAAGAGAAAGTTCTATCCTTACTGGTCCTAAATCTGAATAACTACATCTAAATTTTTAACCTTAATTACGATACACCTACCATTATGTACTAGAAGAGGAAGAGAGAAGGAGGGGGGGAAAATTCACTACACTAGCATCAGGACAGCACTCTTACAAGATAGCCATTTTATACACTATTAACATACAACAATGATCAACAAAGAATATTCTATGAGGTGACAGGGAATGGAGAGGAAAACCAACTGGTAGTACAGTACATCATCAACATTGACAAAATATCAATAAAAAATTCCCTGACGGTACATTGAATTTCAGGGAATTTGGTTTGCTGTTTTTTTTTTCGTTTTTATTTTTTAAAGAATTGTTTTATTTATTTTATTACTTGATCAAGTCTCAATATTTAAAAAGCGTCCAGCATTTTGCTTAAACCTGGTTGTTCTGAAATAAGAAAAAAACCTAAAATATTACATAAAAAGCATGATTCTTTTTTAAAAACAAGAAAAACAAGGTTTTCTCCTTTCGGTTAGCAGTATGGTGCCTTGTTTTTGTTAAAGATGCCTTGCTCTACCTTGTCTATTGAATGTCTACGTTAGTCTACTTGTTAGTAAAATTTACAAAAATAGGAGTGCAGCAGCTCTTTTTAACAAATGTCGCATTCAGTGTCTTATACTGGCTGTACCTAAAGTACCAAATTTATAAACGTAACAATTTAAAAAAATATTAATAAAACTTGTCAATATTACGTTAAAAAAAGAAGAAATATATCCACACTACAGTATGTTCTTAATGCCACCTACCATGTTGTACTTCTAGTTTGCTGTTGCAGGCCTATTTACCAATATTAAAAAAATTAAATTAAAAAATATCCTTCATAAGTTTCCTCCCCCAACAGAGGACCATATATATAACAGCCAAATATTAAACATGTGCAAATAGGAAACTGTCAGTTTTTCCCCTACCAGTCACAGTGCAATGATGTTTTATACTTTATTTTTTTTTTTTTAAATTCTGTTTACAACTACAATAAATTAAAATCTTCCGTTGCTTCTAGGGTGAAACTTGTAGCACTGAGGTATTCCCAAAAAAAAAACCAAAAAACAAAAAAAAAAACCAACCAAACCAAAAACAAAACCGAAGTTGCTTTCCTAATTTGTTAATACAGAAAGTAATGGATAAAAAAGATAACCACACAAGCTCTGAAGCCGCTCTGCCTGCGGCAGGCGAGCGCGGAGGAGGGACCTCGCCTCTGCCCGGGCTGCGCAGGGTGCCCAGAGCAGCTGAAATGACTGGACAGCAAGTTGATCTAGTTTAAAACAACAACTTAAAAAAAGACAAAAATAAAAATAAAAACAAAAGGTGTGCTTCGAACCGTAAATGCGTTAAACAGGAGAACCGTAGCTTCTTTTTCAGTCTTGGGAAAAGCAGGTTTTGACTTAAAAAAAACAAACAGAAACCAAAAACCAAAAACCAGACCACTAGACTGTTCCTTTGTAAGCTGTGCACGTCTGAGAGCGAAGATGCTGGTATGACGCTAGGAGAGCTGGAAGGTCTGCCCGGCTCCGGCGCGAGCGGGCCGGCGCCTGCAGCGCCTCGCTCCCGCGGGCCAGCTCCGGCAGTTGGTCAAAAAGGCTAAAACTTTCTTTTTTTTTTTTCTTCCATTTTCATAGAGAAACTGCCTTAGGCTGACTCCATCACAAAAATAGGTTTGTATTTCTCTTTCTTAATAGTTTATATGTAGTTAATGGAATTGTATTTACAGTATTTTTTTTTTTTCTTTTTTTTTTTCAGAATTCACAATTTCAAAAAACCTTATATCACCTCTTTCAACAAAAAAAAAGCACTTATAGAAAAAGGACGCACAAAAAGTTTGTAGTCCTTGCCTTATTGCCGAAAATAGATAGAATTAGGTTAACGAAGACGCCACAAACGAAAAGAAGGGCTAGAGAACCTGCTGCTCACCCGCGCCCCCCGCGCCCTGCAAGGCCACCCCGAAACCGTGTCCCCCCGCCGCCCTCGGCGGTGGCAGAGCCGGTACCGGCGGCTGAGACTCCTGTCACCATCTCAGCATCCTTTAAGCAACAACGACTACGTAAAACAGAAGGGAGAAGGAGGGGAGGTGGGAAAGAAAAACGAAAGAAACCCCTTAATATAAACAGTTACGCTATGGTTAGGCTCTTGCTAGATACACAAAGAATTAGAACTACGTGGCTACGAGACTATGTCAAAATGCTACGAAAAAATGTGGTTTGGAGAGGCTTAAAAAGGGGGGGGGGGGGGGGGGGGGGAACCCATCAAGAAAATAAAACGAACAAGAAATGGATTTTATATACATACTTTTAAAAGCTGTTGTTTTTATAGTACAGCAGATTCATGAGATGATGAGAGAGATTTTAAACAACCTAAGTCCGTCGAGTGCCACCTCCAGTTTGTTTGCGTTATCGGTGATGATGTAGTGCTCCAAGTCTGATGAGATCACCCAAACGTGGGCCCGTTCAGAAACTTCGCCCCGTCTTGCCCGGACATCCAGAGAGACTCTGCGGGGAGGAGCAGGCAGAGACACAGGACACGGAGGGGAGGGAGAGTTAGTCCAGATCAACGGGGAATTTTAACATCCCCCCCCCCAGCCCACCCGACGTTTGCCAACGCTTTGCAGCGCGGCGGCGTGCTCGATCCGCACCCAGGGTGAATCCGGAGCGACCCGGCTGACGTGCAGAGGCGCCCCGGGCACTGCCGCCGCCGTGCGCCGGCGTTATTTATTTAACGGATTTACTGCTCTTGCTTTGCAGCTCCATCCCCCTGGAAAGCAGCGGGCCTGCACCTCAGGCAGGCTGGGGTCAGCTGCGTGCTAGCCTGGCTTAGGAACAAAAAAATGCGACTTGCTATCTCGGAAGGACAAAACCCATTCCTCAGGCATCTGTTACGCCAGGAATTTATACGGCTTCGGTAAAAATTTATCCTTTTTTTTTTTTTTTTTTTTTTTTTTTTTTCTCCAAAGGCACGGCTAAAGTACTTGAAAGGTAACAACTTTTACACGGGCACACTGCAGTGGTGATGATTTATTTTATAGCGGAGGCTTCAGCTTCTCCTGCCCCGTTCCTGCCGGTGCTTCATGTCGAGACGGAAATAAATCCCGAGGGGCTGGTTCTGCGGGCAGCCGCTCGCAGGGCTGGCTGCGCCGAGGAATCCACCCCGGTCACCCGGTTTTGGGGGTGACCTCCAAACCCCATCCCCACCCCCGGGGACCCGCGGCTCAGCCCCGACTCGTCCCCTGCGGCCGCATCCTGCCCGGGCGGGCGAGGGGCCCGACGCCGCGGGATGCGCCGCCCCAATAAACCTTTCAAACTCAGTGGTCCTTGAGGAATTCACAATAAGGCTCGTTTCCTCCTCTCAAAATCTATTTTAATTAGTAATGAGCAACATTAAAAGCACTTTCTGTTTTTAAGTCATTAATGGTTTGAGCCTTAATACTGGCCAGTAAATGATGGTTGCAGTTTGATGTGTTGTGGTAAGTGTAAAATGATTACAATACATTAATCTGATGAACTGCCTTCATCGCGGCGTTATTAGCGTGAATTATGACGGTCTGCTGAGGCCTCCAGCCGGCGTTGTGTACCACCTCGTTATTACAAAGGCTGACGGCCCAGAAAACGTGAGGGATTCTGACAAATGGATCTGTGAACATACACTGATACGTGCAAATAATAACTGGGATTAAAGCAAGAGTGCTTATGCTACTTTTTTCTTTCCCAGAAAAAATACTACTTGGTGGAGCAAATCAACTGACGGAGCAATTTCAGGTGGTCTTGGGTGTATGCGGGTAGATGAAGAGTAAATAGAAGACCCCTTTATCCAGTAGCATTTAATTATAAATCTATTTTTATATAATTTAAAGCCTCCAAACGTTTTCCAGTTCCCAGCCCCTTGACTAACTGTAATTCTAATTTCATATAGCGATTCTGAATGTAAAACATGTGACACCGATCAGGTAGTGCTGGGCAAAAGGCAGAGAACTAAAATCTGTCAGATCCATTACATTTGTATGGACTAAGAGCTCCAGAGGTAAACCAGTGCCATTTCATGGGGGCAACTGCTGTTTTTCATTGACTGACTTTTCTAATCTATTCTATTCTTGGTGTAAGAGTATTTGTTTGCAAAGATGACTATGCCAAAGGCCAATAAAAATAATAATAAAAAAAATTAAACATTTAATTAACTTGAGCTTAGTTCAAAGGGTAGGAAACTGGCAGCGATCCAAGGATGCATTACTCAGGTAATGTCTTTAATTTAATTTGTTGAGGTTTAATTTTTTTTAATCTTGATAATTGCTCTATGGTTACTAGTTACAATGTTATCTTTTGGCTGTAATATTTGGTACAGCACTTAATTAAGACTGATGGCTGCTCTGTAATAAAGCAGTGGGGCTTGTCTATTTTTAGACCAGTGCTTGGGTAGCAGATCTATAATCCCCACCCCGACGGCGCCAGCTGGCCTTGGCCGCTTCCCCGGAGTTTCTGGGGTCTCAGGGTTTTCTCTGGGGTTTTTGACTCTCCAAATTACCACACTAAGCGTCACAAATATGAAAACGTGACTTTCGGGGGGTTTAGCTCCCGATCGGTCTTCCAGTTTCCAACCCGTGAGATTGATTTGAATAACATAAATCACAGAAAGGAATGATTAAAGGCCAAGGAAAGACGAAATGAAGATAAAAAATTGTTCACTTAAAGTAAATATAGGGGAGATGGTAGTTTAGCACAAAGTACAAATGGTATATACTGTAATACCTCCAAGTGAGATGGCAACCAACCAAGTGTAACGTTTCAATGGTATCCATTTGTAAAAGCCGTTGCAATCAAAGGTCCCTAAAATTGTACAATTGTTAAGTTCATCAGTGCTCTATACATGGGAACAGATGATTATTAATTTTGGCAAGAAATTATCAAAGGAATTGAAAGACTGTGTTGCCAGCATGAATAGGTATTTCCGAGAGCTGTTCTGGTCACCGATGACTCGGTGTGCTGGTTACCTTTCCAAGACCGTAATTTTCTCATTCCCCCAGTTGCAAAAATAAGCTTTGGGTTTTCCCTCCTTTCTTTTTAAACCAGGGTTAGTAAATGGAGAGTGTTAAATAAATATATATGTAAAAAAAGCTACGGGATTCTTTGCAGTTATTGGGGGAGATTAAGAGGCTGCCAATCTGCAAGTCAAATGCAAAATCGTTCTCTGGAGAAGAGTTAGTGCAGACAAATCCAGATAGCCAGGCTTCTACCTTGAACCCTGTTACTTGAAAAATTGGGATGTTGCTGAGGCCAAAGCGCCCAAGTTTTCAAGAACAAACAGGTCTTTTTCTGTAGGTGAAAAATGGAAAAAAGAGGTGTTGCAAGTGGTGAGAGACGGCAGTTTAAATTGATGTAGCTCTTAGCAGAGCAATAATATTCCGCGTTTGGTGCTGGAATTGATGCGAAGGGATTGCCAAGCCCCCGGCGTGACCACAGGAGGGGCAGGACCAGGATGGGAATCGAGTGTGTGGGGACAAATGGAGGCAACAGGTTGGGTTGTTTTTTGTTTTTTTTTTTTTGTCTTTTTGGGTACGGATTGCTTATGCAATAAACGTAACACAATTTCAGCAACTTTGTCTGCACTATGCTCCCGCTCCCCTCACTCCTCCAACTCGGTCAGAGAGTGAAATTCTCCGCTCCGTTTGAGGGATCTTGGGGGAAGCCCTCTGTATTTTGCCACGTTTATCGTACAAGAGGGAAAAAAAAAAAATTCTAATGTTTTTACTACAAAAAGGGACACAACTACAGTTGCAGTTATTCTGTTTGGGAGACTGACAGCCACCAAAGAGGTCCAACCACATTCATGCTAACACACACAGGTAAAACAGCGCGATCTGAAAAACAGCATGCAGCTTTGTTAAGCAAATCTCCATTGCCCGTCATTAGTGAGGCTGCGGGCCCGCGCGGCGCTGAAGGGGTAGTGATTTTCCAATGGCTCGACAACAGAACGGAAGCGACTTCCTCGCCGTTAACCTGCGGATTTTTTTACGGAGCGTCAGCGATGCCGTCACCGGCTGGAAGCCACCCAGGAGGGGTCGGGAAATGCCAGCGTCCCCCTCCCGTGGCCAGCGGCGGGGTGGCCGTCCCCTCGCCGGGGTGGCCGTGGGCGACCCCGCGGTCCCACCGGCCGGATTCACGAGCTGCTTTTCGCTCGTTTTCGGTGGGAGCCGGGACGGGCGCGTCATCCGCGAATGGGCGCGTTGTGGGGGGGTTGCGATAAAGCCCGTGATTCCGAAATATTTCTTTTTTTTTTTTTTTTTTTTTTTTTTTTTTTTTTTTTCTGCCACGCGCCCAGTCTGGACGGCAGAAGGCACCGGGCGAGCGTTTCCAGCCGAGGCGGCAGTGGCAGCGGGTCGGGCACGGCTCCCGCAGGCTACGGCAGCAAGGCGCTACGCTCGCCGTCAGGTCGTAAACGGACAAAAACGCCAACGCAACCCACCCCCCCCCCCCACCTTTCCCCCCCCTCCCCAACGCCACTAAACAGTGAAACCCACCCCCCCCCGACCGAGGAGCGGGGCCGGCGGTACTTACGGCGATCCCGTGGCCGAAGCCGGAGCCCGGCTGCGGGCTGGCGGCGCTTATGTAGTTACCCACGCCGGAGTCCTGGCTGGCCGTGCCGTAGAGATCCGCGACGGGCCCTGGGCTGTTGGCCCCGGGGAAGCCTCCGGGTCGGGCTGGGTTGGAGCCTGCCGGGGAAGCGGGTGCGCCAAAATTCGGTTGAGCACTGTAGCTATTCAAGACTGGTGTGCAGAGAATAAAGCTGGGTATGAGGCCAGACGCCGGGCATGCACCGTTATTACAAAGCCAAACACCAGAATAAACAGCCTAGGCCCAACTTCTAACACTTAACCAAGGCCATGCGATAGGAGAGCAAGTACTGGATAAGAGTCAGCCCGTACTACTACGAAGCTTAGAGCTCCAAAAATATATATATGGATATATATAAAAAAAAAAAGAACAATCATTCAACACACTACTGCAACCAGAGACTGGAGGTGCTCATTTTCACCAAATTATCACAAAATATAATAGGTATTTTTCAACATCTGACTTGATGCTCATGCAGTAGTAACAAGTTCTCTAGGTCTGGGCACGCCGAGACAGCATTCACATCCCATGCAAACTACAAAGGAACTAGTTTGAGACTACACATTGTGGTAATATTGATATTAAAATGTTGATAGCAAATCACTTCAATCGCGTCTAGGAAAATCGATTTTGGATCCATTCGATACTTTTCAAAAAAACCCGCCCTTTTAAATCAGTAAGCTGTAGAAATAATAGTTCAATAGTTGAATTTTTTTTTTTTTTCTTTAAATGGTATGGAATGGAACAGTTTGGAATTTTTTTTTTTTTTAATATGACCAAGGAGAATGTTGTTTTATTTAGTTTTTTTTCTTTTGATTTGGAGAGCGAAGACCTACCTTCGTCTCCAAAACCATGCTTGGGACATCAACCAAAATTAAACAAATAAATAAAGATTAAAAGCAAAAAAGAATTCCAGAGGGTGTAGGACAACTCACCTCCTAATGTGGAAGTAAAAGAAAATTTTATTTTTTTCCTACCTTTTTTTTTTTTTTTTTTTTTTTGAGACAGAAAAACAATGTAAATAAGAATGATACTAAAGAATAAATTTAGATATTAAAGCATGTTAGATGATCAGGCTTCTGGCATTTCTCACAGTTGCTCTTGGATGTAGAATTCATGAGTAGGAAGTTTCAATGCGAAAGAAAAGTTAGCGGACTAGGAGGAGCTGGATGGAAATGGCTTGCGGGAAGCTGGAGCTACGCCTGAGTGGTACTCGCAAGGTCCCGGGGGAGCGCACGGAGACGTGCCCGCCCGCGCCAGCCTCGGCCTCACCGCGGCCCCGCGGCGCCAACGGCCACCGCAGCCCCCCCCGGGGGTGGTGGGCCCTGTCACCGCCACCTCCCAGGCTGCGTCAACGTTTCTTCAGCCTTTTCCTCTGGCGGCAAGTTCCCGCGGGTCTTCGTTAAGCGCTTAAAAAAGGGGGTTGATGAAGGCTGGCAGGCTGCCGTGACCCTCGGCCGGCCGGAGCCGCGCTGACCGCCTGCAGGGTTGTACTGGGGGGGTGGAAACCAGCCCGGGGGGGGGCACAGCCCAGCTCGCTCGGGGAGGGCGGCCCGAGGAAAGGCTTTGCCAGCACCTCGCGTGGGCTCAGCCCGGCTTTGCGGCTGGGCCACCGCCTCTCCTGCCCTGGCCCCCTTCCCCCTGCACCGCCCGCCCAAGGGGGTCCCCCCCTTTTTTCCCAACGAAGGAATGAACTGGTCAAAAAAAAAAAAAAAAAAAAAAAGTCAACCCGGCAGCTGTCAGCTCCGCAATGACAGGAAAGTAAATTTTACAAAATAAATGATTTAATGCAGCTCTGAACTGGTAGCAGGGGAAAGTAAGTAGGACATCTAAGCTAGCAAGTTAAAAGAAATAAGGCATCAGAGAGTAAATAGATTTTGGAATTCACTGGCAAACAAAGCGCCTTTTTTATTATTAAAGATTAAATGTCAAGATAACATTTGGCCTTCTCACTCATGAAGAAAAATATCCAGCTGAGATGTTCAAAAGCCCTTTATTACTATAAGCTAGCACTTTTTTTCCCTTTTCTTCCTTCTGGTTCAATAAAATGGATGCGAGTTTTACTGCCAAGTCACACAGAAAGCCCAGTTGGCCGGTCTGAGCGAAGGCAGGAGCACAGCAGAGGGACGTGGTGAGGCAAAGGCGGGGATCCTGCCAGTAAAATACTCCTGCAAAGCCCCGCGGCAGCGCCAGGAGAGCCCATCGCACCGCCACCCGCCCTGGGGCCAGGAGCAGGGACCGGCCTCGGCCCCTGGCAAATGCCCACAGGATGCCCAGAGCCACCCCGTGGCATCGACCCGCAGCCCCAGAACCGTGCACGGGTGACACGGGGACACGGCTGCGCCCGGAAACCTCGCAAAGAGAACAGCAAATGGGGGCCGGGGAGCTCCGTGCCCTCAAACACCCCACCCCGGCCACTGCCATCTACATCTCGATGAAGACTGGAAATACCGGCTTACACGGGTGCAGAAAGAGCTGGCAATTGGTTATTCGGAAGTCCTTCTGATTGTGGCTATGTAATGTAAGAAAAAAGGCGATTTTCTACGTACTGAACATCAGTGGAACACTGCACGCTGCTCAGAGGAGCGCCTGCAGAAAAACGGGCGCGCCAAAGGCACGCCGGCCGCTCCATCGCCCGGGAACTGCCGGGGACGCGCCGCACCGCTCCACGCCGCTGCCCGGAAAACTGGGTAGGAAGGGCTGGAAGCTTTTACAGAGCTGACACTTTGCTCCAGACCCAATAAACGAAACAGAAAAGCTCTCACAATTACTAGGAGGCTAGGCGCTCCTCAGAAAGCTGTATTTTAACGAGTCACTCGGCCATGGTGAGTTGCTAAATATTCTTACAGTAGCTCCACCCAAGCTCCCCTGGAGCCAGAGGCACTTCTACCATCGCTTTGAAACACCAGCAAAGGGACCTTGAACAGCTTTCCCAACATGCATTTACTTTCTGGTAGGAAATACCTGGAAACAAATTCATTTAACATAAACCTGGAATAATGTGGGACTAAAATGAAAAAGAAAAAATCCCTCAAATCCTCCAGACTCCAGATATTGTTTTGGTCCTCAAAGAAAATTGAAGACTCTTTGGGGGTGTGTACCTTTCTGACAAAGTTCCCGGTGTCAGCTCAGTCGCTGGAGGAGGCAGAAGCTGCCCGAGAGCCACGGCTGTGAGCTGCGGGGAGGGCAGAGCATTAAGATTAACGCTCTGCAGGCTGGAAGGGATCTGAGACTCTCCCCTGGCCACCGACATCCTGGGAATAACGAAGGGCAGAAGTTGGGAGGCACGTTGCTGAAAAGCCCTCGGGGGATTATTGTGCTGTCCCAGGAGCGGGGAGGGAACCACTGACCGTGTCTTGAGGCCAGGAGCAAAGCCCGGGCTGTTGCCTGGCCCAGCAGAGGTACTGGCCGAGCTGACCAAGTATCTCCGGATTTTGGTTTGCCAGGAGGACCCATCGGACTGATTCAGCAGTCCCTGGGGGTCGGCAGGGCCGTCTCCTGCCCTTCCAAGGACTGCCAGCACTCAGGAAGTCCTGCTAGTCCAAGTACCCACTTCCAACATGCTCCAAAAGGTTCAGGTCCAATTTACCAACCAATTGCACAGGAAACCGCCCTGCACCGGACGTTTTCACGGCTCTGAGACTGCAGCTAAGTGCCTCCAATTCAAGGGTTTCCTCTGCACATAATCGGCAATCCCAAGTGTCACCAGGAAGCCCTGTGGCAGATCAAGGTCAGGAGAGATGTGGGAAAGATTAGACGTGTCTGTAAGTCACAGCCAACCAACCTTTATCTTCCTCAGCCCCAACGATCCCCCATGCTCCGGTTACAGAAGCTCCTCCTCACGCCTACGGAGATCAAGAGACAGCAGCCGAGAGATGTGGCAGCGATGGGAACAAGAAAGTTTAATGTCTTGTTTGCTTCACTTTGAATTTGCTGTGGTTCTGCTCACAGAAAAGGCTCCGGGCCTGTGAATTTTATCAGTAAGTGAACGTTTGCCTGCAGGCCAGGGGGGACGGGCTTTGGGGAGCCTTGGGCTCTACCCTGCCCAGCGCCACGGTGGCTTGGAGAGCACTGAAAAGCAACGAGGGAAAGCGAGATGGGGCACGAGACACTGAAGCAAACGTGGGCTCATCAAGCAGAACCGGCATTTTTCGAATACAAAGTGTTGGCAATGGTGGAATTGGGATCTGGTGTGCACGGCTGGCACAGCACGAGCCGAGCCTTGTCTGAAGGGGTGGCTGGGAGTCCAGAGACGATGGGAAGAGACAGAGAAATGCCATCGTTGACAAGGCTGGAAATGGGTAAAAGGATTTGGTGCCTTGCCACGAACCACTGCCAGCGGTTAGTATTTACAGCGGTCAGGTTTTGCTATGGCAAAAGCCAGGGTTTGCTGTACCTCCCTGCTGCAGCATGTGCCCACACGCAGGGTCTCATCTCAGGGACGTGTTTGGTGCAACCATGCGCATTTACTGCACCCTCTCCTCTGCCCAAGCTGCGTCTCCTCAGAGGAGAATCTACTGGAAGTCTTTCTGCTAAGATAAATATGAATTTGGCGAGAATTTAAAACGCGTCCGTAACCTCAAGATAGTGCTTCAACGAGCAAGGCTATTTTATTACTAACTCATCTTGGCATCCTTTAGCAGAGCTGTTTTCATCCACATTTAACGCGTGTAAGACACTTCTCAGTGCAACGTTCGGAGAACAAGTGATTTATGTCAAGGAGCCGAGAGCTGGAGCCCGAAACGTTCCTGGCAGCCCAGGCTCGGCGCTACGAAATGCTCTGCTGGGAGCAGGGACGGGGCTCGCTGGAGCTCGCTTATCAAGTGCCTTCTCCTGTAAACTGCCGTGTTAACACAGACCCTGCTCATACATTAATCCGCGTTCAACAAGAAAGGTCACCGTTGAAAGATAAACTCTCCTTCGATGAACTCTTGAGAAATTTCTAAGTCAGGATTCATTATGACATTTGCCTTAGCGAAGGGCGTATTACAGTAACGAGGATCCAAACGCCTGGCTGCAGGGGTGGAGAGGGCAGCTGAGTGAAGCACAAGTTGGATGCTGGAATCCCACCCGAATAAACTCAATTCAGCCACGAATGACGGAGGGAAAGAGGGAGGGAAAGAAGAAGAAATGTAAGGATTTTGACATTACT